AAAGAGAGAAATTGGGAGCGGGTGGGAATACAGAAATGGCACACCAGATTGCCTCCGTTTTTCTGTTAATAAAGAGGTGTCCTTGCTTGGCGTTCGTTTGTTCGGAAACGAAGGCGGAAGTGAATATCAGGTCACTTTTGAAGTAAAAAATGCCAAAGTAATCGGAAAGTATACTTCTCATTGCAATCAAGACAACATTCCCGGTTTTGATGTAATGTTAGAGAAACCCATTATCTTCAAGCAGAACGAAGTCGGTACTCTTTCTGCAACAATAGCAGGGCCTACTTCGTGTCAATGTAAAAATGGATTATCTTCAGTTACACTTGACGGGGTCACTGTGACATTTAGTAACTCTCCGTCCTCAAACAACGGAACTTCTGTAGGTGATGGACAATTTCATGAAATAATACTTGGGATTTAATATTGATGTCTGTTATTATCAACAATGCTGTGCTGCGCCCTGTGTATAGTTTTGCTCACGTGAAAACAATATTGTTACATACTGCTAATAAGATTAATTCATTTAAACAATCACATTTAACTATTTACGCCCATTAAAACTATTCCAATATCGCCCAACAATGTTGGTCGAACAATGTTGGGGAATGTTAGATAGCAATTTTTTACTAACAAAGTCAAATCTGATCCAGCATCTTCCACAACATGACCCAACACTGTTAAACAAACCCAATAATGTAACATCTAACAATATAGACCAACATGTTGGACTGGTCTGAACAGGCACATTACACCCCTAAAGTGCTATAATATTAACATTCATGGCTCGTGACAAACATGTAGCCTCACACGGCAATTTTATTTATCGTCCCTAATGTGGGAATTGTAATATTTGGTATTTTTAGCTGTCTCAAGCCTTATGTAGTTTTTCAAAAGTTTTCGAATTACTTAACTGTGACTATTAACAATTTCTTTTTTTCAATAGAATTGTTTTAAAATTATCAACTGATACTATACTGATACTATATATATATTGAGTATAGAATTCGTTTTATGAAATAAAATTTCGGGCTCATCAATGTCGTTTTCGAGTTATATTACTTTCAAAGCCAAAATATCCGCCATCTTAAAATTATTTTATTTTATTTTACAAGTTTGCCGTTGCAATAGATCTATAGAGTACTATATATGGTTACAAATGACTGGAATTTCCACAGAGATAGTTCTCCAATAATGGGGTTCCAAAAAAGAACAACTTATACGGTATATCTAATTATTTTAAAAATTAAAGTAAACATAACAATTAAACACAAATACAAGAAAACAAAGCGAACGTATTGACGAACAAACGAACAAAAACTAAATTTAGCAACATGTTCGAGTTGATAAGTTCATTAGTGGGCGAGTGGTGTGACATTTAATACAAACAGACTTAAATGTTCTTGGATCTTCAGGATCATAAATTTGTTGGGTTAATTCTACGTAGTATTTCATTAGATTACATTTAACAAATATAAAACATTTTCCGTGTTGATATACAACACGAGTGGAAATATCAACACGAGTGGAAATTGGGAAAACGAGAAATTGGGTGGAAACACGACGCCCGAAGGGCGGAATGTTTTCACACAATTTCGAGTTTTCCCAACTTCCACGAGTGTTGATATAACGATATATCAATACGGAAAAATGTTTTATATTTGTTTTATAATATAGCAATGTCAAAAGCCCGAAGAATAGGAAAAATTTCCGTGTTTATAAGCGGCGGAAAATTTCCCGTGTTGACATGGAGTTATATCAACACGGCTCTTAGCCAATCAGCGTTCAGAATTTACAAATGCTATATTATAATTAAATGTAGTTAGAGATGTGGTGGTATTTCTTATGAAGCCGGGAAGCGTGTTCCACACATTAGCAGCTGAGCAGCTCTGACGTAAAAGCTGTTTTGAAAAGAAACAGTTTTACTTTTGGTTACATGAAGTAGGGGCCGTTGGTTGAACTATAGTATTCCTTGTTTCTCGTGTAGGGATTTTATAGATATGTTACTGTCAGAGTTATTTATAAGGCATTTGTCAAGATACACCGTATCTAAATACTCATGCCAGTAACATAGAGGGAGGATTCCGATGGTGGCCAATCGTTTCTTATACGAGATAGATGTTTTGTACGGGAGCGAAAGAATAAATTTTGATGCACGTCACTGCAACCGTTCGATCGTTAGGATGTTTTTTTTTTCTGTGTTGGTGTTGTGTACTCGTGTGAATATGATGTTTGTGATGTTACTCTGAGTGTATATCCACACCGGGCGAGCTTGAAAAATATGCCCGGCCACGGTGGGAATCGAACCCACGACCTTTGGAATACTAGCCCAATACTCTGCCAATTGAGCTACGCGGTCAGGTCGGTTCGAGTAAGTGATATTTCGGAACAGAATCTACACCAACACAGAAAAAATCATATTACTAGATTACATTGGCATCGAAGGAACTAGATTCTGTTCCGAAATATCACTTACTCGAACCGACCTGACCGCGTAGCTCAGTTGGTAGAGCATTGGGCTAGTATTCCAAAGGCCGTAGGTTCGATTCCCACCGTGGTTAGGATGGTGACAGTTTGGGGTGCCCACACTCGACTACTGTAAGCTAGCTGGCTTAGCACGATAGTCAAGTACAGTATCTTTCGAGCTCTTTTATCGTGAATGCCGGACGCTGTTCTCTGACAAAACCCAGCAGGTTTTGTTAGCTGCTGGGTTTTGTCAAGAGAACAGCTTTTGTTAGCTTTTGAGGATAAGTCATGCACGTGCTGGTTCCACTTCAGATCTTTGGTGATACTTACGCCAAGATCTTTTTCACAGGTTAAAGGTTTGACTGGGATGTCAACTAACGTGTACTGGTTGATGGTAGGTTGGAGACAAGGAGTAAATTGAAGTTATTTAAGTCCATCCTCCAGTCTTGACACCAGTTGGTAATATTGTTAAGATCTGATTGTAGGATTTCTTTACCTTGAAGATTACGAACAGCGCGATGACATTTAGTATCGTCAGCGAACATTGACACGACCTTGGGAGACGCTATCGGGAAGATCG